GGTCGCTCGTGTGTGCACGTGCGCCCCCTTGTGCAACCTCCTCCCCCTATCGCGACGTCCTCGTCCTCCCTCACGACCCCCTCCCGCTCGTACGAAATCCTCCCCCTAGCACGACCTCCTCCTTCCCCTGCCGCATGACCTCTGCAACCTCTCGTCCCCAGCATGCGATCTGCTCCTACCCCTCCCATGACCCACTCCTCCCCTTTGCATTGCGTCCTCCTCCCCCTTGCGCGACCTTCTCACACCTCTCTTTCCGACCTCATCCAACTCCTCCTCCTCCTTACACCACCTCCTCCTCTCGCTCATGTGTCCTCATCCGGCCTCCTCAAACCACTCGCGCCACCTCCTCCAACCTCCCTTCCGACCTCCGCTGCAACCTCTCGTCCTCCTCGTGCGACCTGCTCCTCCCCCTCTTCCGACCTCCTCCTCTCCCTTGTGCCACCTCCTCTTCCCCCTTGTGCAACCTCTTGCTTGTCCTTGTGCGAACTGCTCCTCCCCCTCCCACTCCGTCTTCCGATCTCCTCCTCCCCCTTACGCAACCTCCGCGCGACCTCCTCCTCTCCCTTGTGCGACCTCTTCCTACCCCTCGCGCGACCCCCTCCTCCCCCCGTGGGACTTCCTCCCTCTCTTCCGACCCTCCTTCCCTCGCGCAACCTCCTAATCCTTGTGCGACTTCCTCCTCCCCCTCACGCGTCCTCTTCCCCCTCCTCATCCACCTCGCACGACCTCCTCCCCCTTGTGCGACGTCCGCTTCCCATCGCACAACCTCCTCCTCCCCCTCGTGCCACCTCCTCCAATCTGTCTTCCTACCTCCTCCCCCTTGTGCGATCTCGTCCTTCCCCTCTTCTGACCTCCTCGTCCCGCTTGCACAACCTCCTCCTCCCGCTTGCACAACCTCCTTTCTCCCACTCTCCGACGGCGGCCGAATAGTAGCATGCGAAAAACCACCCAAAAGGCGGGGATTAAAAATAAATAAATAAAAAGTGACTCCTCCTCGTGCGACCTGCTCCTCCCCCTCTTCCGACCTCCTACTCTCCCTTGTGCCACCTCCTCCCACTGCTCCTCCTCCTCCTCCTCCTCCTCCCCCTCCCGCTCCTCCGCCAAACAACGTGACAAAGATCCCGCCATAGCCCCGCTCCCGCTCGTTCTCCTGCTGCTCCTGCCTCTCCTCCTCCCTCTCCTTCTCCTGCTCTCCCTCCTGCTGCTTCTCCTTCTCCTGCTGCTTCCCTTGCTCTTTCCCCTGTTCCTCCTGCTCCTTCTCCTGCTCGTCCTAGTGCTCCGCCCGCTTCTCCTGGTTCACCTATATCTCCTCCCCCTCCTCGGCCTCCCGAAGGTTCGTTAACCCCCTCCCAGTTTCCCCTCCCGCTCCTCCTCCCGCTCCTTCTACCACCCCTTCTGCCGCGCCTCCTCCGCCCCTTCCTGTTTTTCCTCGTGCTTCTTCTCCCGCTCCTAACCCCCTCCCATTTTCCCCTGCCGCTCCTCCTTCTCCAGCTCCTCCTCCCGCGGCTCCTCCACCCCTTCGCATTTCCCGTCCCGCTCCTTCTCCCGCACCTGCTCCCGTTCCTCCCACTCCTTTTCCCATCCCTCCTCCCGCTCCTCCCGCTCCTCCCGCTCCTCGTCTCGCTCCTCCTCCCGCCGGCTCTCTCTCTCTCTCTCTCTCTCTCTCTCTCTCTCTCTCTCTCTCTCTCTCTCTCTCAGCTAGCAACGTGGGGGGCCATTTTTCTTTTGTTTTTTTCATAGGAGATGGCTATGGCGACGATGAGGAATGCCCCCCGTCGATCTCTTCTCCGACTCTGAACTCTCTCATGTCTTCACTTAATCTCCTTCACTGTTTGGTTGGAGTGGTTCTGGCTCGCTGTCCATGTTTGGAGCTCATAGATGCGTGTGCTCTGTCCCATTGTTGCAGGTGATTCGTTCCGCCCCCTCTAGCTCCATCCTCCGATGAGGTGCCTTGACGTTCGCCTGATTGGTGGGCAGGTCCGCCAACTGTACTAGCTTCATCTTCTACCCTCGGTTGTCGAGGTTCCTTGTGTACACACAAAACATTGTCAGCGTTAATGTCCGCCTGCTTTCCTCAGTGTTACTCATTGTATTTCTCTCCGAATTGAGGTCGCTCTGCTCCCGTCCAAGGGTCCGAGTATCCCTGGGTAGGTCGGTTGCTTGGGTCTACTACTAGTTGAACTAGGAGCTTTCGAAGTCGCACTTGACAATTTTTTTGAGTGCTCCATCTGCCTTCCATGACTAGAAGGTGCATGTGAGGTTGGCTGGTAGCTGCTACTGGATTCTGGCGCTATGCTTGGCGGTGCTGTAGGCACTCTCGCTCGCTGTTGTCTCGTGCATTGGTCCGCCATGTGATAGTATCGCCGACATCTGCTGCACCAAGGCGTTTGGGCATTGGCCACCTTCAACTCGATGAGTTAACCCTGGAACTTTGTGAAGGATAGGGTTTCCTTCAACTTTGGAAGCGCCTCGATTGCCAAGTCCATTCTCACATTAACTAACCAGGGGGTCCTTGCATCACGCTCCGATGGATTTACTTTGATGACCTGACCAATTGAGAGTTCAGCTGCTGATTCCAAGTAGCAAAAGGCATTGATTGGGACATCCAGGATTCTGATCCAGAAGTATGCTTGAGCAGCCTCCCTACGAGCTTCCTGGATTTCTTTTTTTGCCAGCCATGGCTTGAAAGCGATGTTGTGCCACCTCCCTCGCAGAGCCACGCGAGTTTCACCTTCCTGTAACATCCATTATGTCACCCTAGTGTCTTTTGTGATGTTGGAAAGAACATTACTGGATTCAATACAGACCCGACCTCGGGTAATCCATGGATCAAAGCGCTCTTCACCCATCTGAATGTCTTCATAAGCGCGTATGACCTCTTCCTTAAGCTTCTTCGGCAGATTTTTGTAACCTTCTTGAAAGATAACTGTTATGGTGCGTTCTTTAAGCCACTTCACTTTAATCTCATCTAATGATGGGTTAAGAGTAAAGTGAGCGTTGGTGTTGTCCTCCGTCAGCTCCTCAATACCCCACCCGGCAGGAAGAATGCCGATATCGAAACATTTGGCAAGCATGTCTGCTCTTTTGTTTTGGGCTTGTATGCGTTTTGGATTTGCGTTTTCGGGCCTTGTGCAAGGGCTGTTGGTGGTGTGCCTTGTGTGCACGGCCCGTCTTTTGGCGTTGTGGGCTTTGTGCATGTGGACGTTTTCTGAGCTTGACACATTCAAAATGTTGGTGGTTCGCTGGAAGGGCCTCGGCCGGGTTTGCGTGTGGGGGGTCGTTCGCTTCAGGTTCCCTTCAGGAGGCATCCCCTTTTCGCTTCGACTCTGGGCGTCGCGTGTGTGGCGCCGGTGTCGGGAAGGAGTTCATGCAAAGCAGAGAAAGGAACTGATGGAGATGACGAGGGCGGCGGCTACCCTTCCTCTAAACTTCATGGCTACCTCTTCCCTCCCTTCCCATTCTCCTCCCTAGCTGTTCTCCTTGCCCGGTCTCGTCCTTGACTGTCGTCTTTGCTGTCTCTTTATTCTCCTCTCCTCTCCTCTCCTCTCCTCTGTACTGCTTGTCTCCTCTTTTCTCTTCTCTTGAATCTCCTCCCCTCTCCTTTCCCTTCTCGCCTCTTCTCTTGTCGCACCTCTCATCTCTCTTCTCTCCTCTTTTTTAAGCTCTTATCTCCTTTCTTTTCCCTTGTTTGCTTTGTTCTCACTTCCCTAATCTCCTCTACTCTCGGCTCTAGAGTTATTTGAAGATGCAGGGACTTAGCAGCTGGGTGACGGCGGAGAAGGAGAGGGGGTCATCGATACAGGAGACAGTGGCCATCCTGACTCTGGAGACGGTGAGCTGATACCCGATCGCACCGACGGCAATACCGATGGCTACGGCGATCGTGATGGCAAAGAGGGTCTGTTCGGTGGAAGCAATGACGACTCCTCCACGCAAAGTCACTGAATTTTGCTCTCATACGCAGAATCAGCAACCTCTTCACCTTGCCGTGTCCCTTTCTCCTCCTCTTCCTTTCTCCCTCTTCTTTCAATCTCCCCGCGTCCTAATTGAGGTCCTGATCCATTATCCGCGACATTACCCTTCACTAGCTGACTGTGGCGATTGGACTCCAACCTCCAACTCCCTTCCTTATCAACATGGTTGTCCTCAATTTCTCCGCCAGCTCCTAGCACCACCATCTTCGCACTGGTCCCGTCCTCTCCTCCTCTCTTACCTCCTTGCTCCCCTGGAAGCCTTCCATTTGCCATGTGGCGTTCCCACAGAGAGTGACTAGATGCATCTGTTACTATGAATAGTGTGTGATGCATCTTGCCACTTTCTGTGGACCATGCATTCATACTTTTTTGTTTCGAACTGTGTTGTGATGTGGTAAGGCGCCAATGCTTATGGCAACGGATGGACTTTGGATTCTCTTGATGCAGAGATGGTGTGTACATGATAGGGACTGACAGATGAATGGAGGCTGATGTGTATGTAGACGAGTGCTCTCCTCTCTCTATATGCTCAATCGTGATTGCTTCCCTTTGTTGGGAAAAAATGGGTAGACTGTTTTGGCCCATGCTCCACCACTCACCACATGCACAAAAGAAGAATTATGACCGTGTATTTTTTTTTTTTTTTTTTTTTTTTTTTTTT